ACGCACGCACGCACGCAGAGACACACGCATATATCACGGATTTTGATTAAAGACTTACGGTTTTGTAAAACATGCAGGCTTGCAAGTCCTCGTCCTCGCCTGAAGGGCAGTCTAAGAAACCGTCGCACAAGGCGTGATCATCGATGCAGTGATATCTACCAAATCTGTCCGGGTTCGGACACGCGAACCTTTCCATCCCGTCGTCGGAAAACGGACACTCTGCAAGCACAAAAAAAATGGAAAATAAATTGTCAGCAGCCGCAACGCGTCCTCCTCCGTCGATGCGCTTTAACGCAGCTGGACGAACGACGAAGCGCGTTCAATAATCCGAACTGTGCTTCAATTTATTTTACAATTCTATATTTTGTAATCCTATATTTTATGATGCTGCTTGAATTTATTATGAAATATGTATATCAACGTAGTCTAATTATTTCGTTCGCTTTTATATTTATTGGGTGTACCGTTTGAGACACCGCTTGATTTTAGTGTATTTAAATATATTATTTAATGTTATTTATTGTTTTCAAGATATCCTACGGAATATATTGTTTTAATCAATTATTTTTAACGTATCCTACAGGCAATATTACATTAAGTTATTATTTTTAAAATATCCTACGAAAAATATTGTTTCAATCAATTATTTTTAACGTATCCTACAGACAATATTATTATAAACTATCAGTTTTAGGATATCCTACAGAAAATATTGTTTCAATCAATTATTTTTAACATATCCTACAGACAATATTATTTCAAACCATCATTTTTAACATATCCTGCAGAAAACGTTATTTTCAAGATATTCTTCCATCTAAAACTGAAAAACAAAATCTTGTAGTATTTCAATAAATAACAATATAAGAACATATACCCAACTGACAACGATAAACAAATTATGCGTCAGTGTATACACGGTACAAACTACAAATAAACGACTAGTAACAAAATAATAATATAAAATAATATTATCGCTAATAAAATAATATAATTTCTCAAAATAACCTTAAGGAATAAAATTGTTGCAAACATGCTCTATGAAAACAAAATTCTTGCAAGAAGTCAACCCCTGTCTCAGCAATTATATGCAACACATACACACAGACGCGCGAACACATTCCGTTTCGAAGAATGCGTTGAATTTTCGAGAAAACGCAAGATTCTCAGATTGTTAACGAAAACTTCCTGTCGGCCGAAACTTTTCGAATTTCCCAATTATTCGTTTATAGCGCGCGGTAAGGAGTGACTTGTTGACGACACGAGCAGCAGGGGGTGGGAGGGGCGGGGCACCTCATTAAAACTCCTGTTCCGCGAGTGGCAACTTCTAGGGAGCCACTGCCGTCGTCGAACTTTCCGACAATGAAAGTAATCTGCACACTTTTGCGCAATACTTCGGTCACCCGTAACAGGTGCCTGAACAACCCCCGGTGCCACTAGCGCGCCCCTATAACCTATAGTTTACCAACGTGGTCGTTACCACCCACCTGTGGGCCGGGGTGAACTAGGCAACGTGAACATTTCTCTTTCCAGATAGACTTCGCGTTTCCTTCATTTCGATCCGCTCTGCGGTGAAAATATTTGCAACTGTTTCGGAAACAGTTGTTGGAACTTTAATCGATTCAAATACCACCCTAATGATACTCTGTTACGTTATAGGGTGCTCGAATTCATTTTTATTATTGTTCTATTGTTATTATTATTATTATTATTATTATTATTATTATTATTA